TTGAGCCGGTTGATGAGGTCGTTGATCAGCGGAAGGGGGTACCGGTTTTTGACAGTCATCGCATTGAGAGCACGGTAGTCCTGGACGAAGCGGAGTCCGCCGTCCTTCTTCTTGACGAAGAAGACCGGAGACGCCATCGGAGACTTGGAGGGGCGAATCCGGCCCGTTGAAAGCCCTTCCTTGATGAACGCGTCGAGCTCGCGTTGCTCGAGGGGCGAGATGGGGTACACCTTGCAGTTGGTGGGCTTAGCGTCGGTGGACGAGTTCAATGGCGTGGTCCCAGGCTCTCCGCTCCGGTAGCGTGTCGAAGGACTCCTTGTTGAAGACGTCCTGAAACTCCTTAGCCCAGTCCGGGATCTCGGAGGGCGCAGGGGCGGAGTTCCTGGCGAAGGCTTCGGCCAGGCGCTGTGAGACAGTACTGCCAGCGCGTATCTCCTCCGAGGGGCGGAACGAGGTGTAGAAGATGCGGTCACCATCCTCAAGCTGACCATCGTCTTCATCATCGTCGGAGTCCGGCACCAGATCAGGCAGGGCGGAGTCGTCACCGGAGACGGAATCGTCTCCGTCGTCAGGCCCAGAGAGGTCCATGGTGCAGACCGAGGGGAACGGGCCGGAGCGGAGTCGCTTCTGGAGCAGCCGGAGTCGCCGTAGCTCAGTCCGTTCAACGCGTTCTTCCTCGCGGCAAGTGGAGCAACCAGGGGGCACCGTGTCATCTTGACCTCCTTGGTTTCCCAATTGATTTCCGGGTTATGCTTCCGCAGCCAGGAGTACCCCAGAATAAGGTCTTGTTTATACCAAGATGAGTGACGGCGAGTTGAACACGCTCGGAATGGCCTTTGTAGCGTAAGACCAAGTCCGCGATCTGGTTGATGGAGCCGGCGTCGTTCGGAGTGCCATCAACGTTAAAGACCGGAATCGGTTGCGCCAGGGTGCGGACCGGAATGCCATTCCGAGCGACATAGTTCGTGTCAATAAAGTCGGAGGTGGCACCACAGTCAACCAGGCCAGAGAGCGAGAGCTTAAGCGCTGGTAGTGGACTCTAGCTCCAACGGGAGGTGGAGGGAGTTCACTCCGGGGGAAGCAGCGACAGTGTACTGCTTGGGCAGTTTCTTTTCCCAGGCAGTGAGGCGGCGAAGGACGATGACCGGAGTCGGGGCGAAGTCGGAGACGGAGTCGAAACGGGGGGGGGGGGGGAGGTATGTCTTTCGTTTCAGGCTCGTTGTAGGGCAAAGGAATTGATTCGTCATACAAACAAGCGAAACGATTTACGGACGCGAACGAGGGCACACCAGTCACTCGTCGCGGGGGACAAAATCCTCTCCGGCCATCGACTCGCGACTGTTTCCGGCAGCGCAGCTGTGTCCGAGTAGCGGGCGATCAACTCCGCTAACATCTCGTCACCGAGTTGTTGGATCACCTCGTCGAGGATGTCCATTGAGCGAACGTCCCTGGGGGGGGGGCAATCCCGGGCGAGATGGTTTGGGTCGCCGCACCTGAAGCAGGCGCGACGAGGGGCACCCCGAGCCCTAGTGCGATCCAACTCCATGGGGACGGGAGCTGGAGGCGCCGGAGGGGGGCGCGGGCCACGGGTGGCACGACCGGAGCCACCGGGCGGAAAGGGGCCGGAGCCGGGATGCGGTTGACCGGAAACGGAGTCCGAATCAAACCGCCAGGCGTCTTGGGGGCGGCTGACTTGATCAGCTTGGCCCGGACCAGGGCCTCGTATTGACGGAAGGCCCGGGTGCGCCAGCTAAGGTAGTCCCGGAGGTCCGGGGGTCGTTCGAGGACGTGATTCCGTTGTTGATCAGGGGGTCAAGTCCGTGGCGGAACTTGGTCACCTTGACCAACACGTCTTCGAATCCGGCGAGGTCCATCAGGTCCTCGAAGTCGTCGGTGTACTGGTAGACATCCTTTGTGCCCATGTGATAGGCGGAAGTCTCCAGTTTGGAGAGAGCATGATCTTGCTCATTCTCCTCGACAAACCGGAGTCAAAACTCGGAAACGAACGAGCCCCAAGACGGAAACGGAAACGGGGCTTTGCTTCCGTGGCGCTCCGCCCATTGCTGAGCGGGTCCTTCCGCCATAAACGACATGGCATAGCGGACGGCCTTTTCCTCGCTCGCCTCTCCGTTGACCACGAAGGCCTCGGGGGCAAGGCGGGCATAGGTGCGGACCGCGTGAGAGGAACGCGGCCCGCGTTTCCGGTCGCCGTTGAAGGTGAACGGAGGGTTTGGTCGCAAGACCAATTTTGAGGCGAGGTTGATGTCGCCAAAAAGGGCTTCGGAGTCGCCCTGGACCGGAGTCGGAGTCGGAATCGACGTCTCCGGCGATAGTATTTGGGGTCCGCCAGCATTATTAGCGGCGGCAGCGGCAGCGGAAGCCTGGTTGGTGAGTAAAGCAAGGGCCTCGGTTAGGCCATCGATTTTTCGCCTCGAGGGAGTCCAGCCGGGCGTCTGCGGTAGGAGTGACTCCAGACGGCATGACGGGTGCGGGGACCACAGGAGTAGAGGAGGAGGGGACAAGTGGCAGGGGCGGTGACGAGGGCGGAACGGACTTCACAGGCGAGGTCCCAGGGCGACTGTCGGGAGGGCGTTGACGGATCGGTGATTGTGCGGGCGAGATGGAGGGCCGGACCGGAGTTGGAACCGGAATCGGACCGGAATCGGACCGGAATCGGGCGCGTCTCCGGGCCGAAAGGGAGGTTCCCCTGACACTAAGGACCCAAGGGTAGAAGATCAATCTACACATATTAATTTATTGTTATTATTTATGTTATATCCTGTGCATCTTTGGATGCTCCGAGGTCATCCTTGGAGTGCAACAGGGTTTTTATGTGACAAAGGTATCTGAGTGTTTCCCTTCAAACAGTTAATCTGTCTGTGGACTCCCTTAGACAAGTTCCAACTCGTTAACCATCAACATGGATCTTTTCCCATTTGGCCTTTTGCTTGTTTACTTATATCCTTTAGGCATTTACTTCGTTTCCTTTGCCTCGTGTATGTCTTCTCGTTCTCCTTACTTACTATGCTGTCCCAAACAACACCAATTCAGAGGATGCCAGTTGGCCAGTAAAGGCAAGCAAGAAGCACCATAAAAAGATATCGTAAAGATGATGCAATTTGAAGACTGGGGTACAAGATAAAATCTACTCTACTTATATATACTACTACCATGTATTTACCATGCCTAATATGAGAGGCAATGACATCATACTTTGTACTGTTTACCTCATGTCCAACTCCACGCTGTCAATCAACATTAGCATCAACATCTGATGATCCAATCACCATTTTATCGTCCATCTTATCTCCTCCTTGTCTTATCTTATCAACCAGGGCCAAAATAAAAGGTTTAAAGGGTGAAGAAAAAGGGTTTTTGAATCCAGGGTTTGACACATCCCTATATAAACCGACAGCTACCATGCAATTGGGTGGCTTCTATGGACATTTGTCAAAATCGACCATGGAATCATGAGCATTATTTATAAGCCCCAACGGGGTTGTAATACCAGAGTTTGACAAATCTAGAAGGCCAATGTCAGGACAATATATCAGGCTGTTCATGAATAATAGAACATATCAGGCAGCTGCTCTCTATCTCTAATGAAATGACTGGCAAAAAGCACAAGAGATTTAATCGCTGAAGCCTTGGATGGCGGCCAATATTGCTGAGCTTCCACAGGTTGTTCCATTGTTTGAACCTGTTTCAACTTTGGAATATCAGATAAAGACAACCACATTTTGAGCTACTCAACTTCCTGAAGTACAATCTCCAATAGCATGTCATGGGAAATTGTTTGAGTTAAGGCTGGATCAATATGTACATTAAGTGCACTTAAGACTTCTATGATGTCACGCCGCACACTGTCAAATCCGGTATCAAAGTCAGGTGATCTATGGTCAAGGGTACCCGATTTCTGAAGAGTTGAAAGGGCACTCGTGGCAATAGTGCCATGCTTGGCTACTAATTCCTGATCACTGGGAGATGGCCTGATCACGAGGGAAAAGGGCAGTACACCATCTGCACATTCGACTCCAGGTGTCAGCTCGGCAGCACCGGTGGATGATAATTGAGTATCATCACCATTGGCCGATGTTTCTGAGGAGCCGTGTGGCGTCAACTGGACCATTGGTGGTGGCATTGGTGAGGGCAATCGCGGGCTTGTACCTCTTTGATACTTGCAATCAGAGTCTGATGATGGCTGCGGCAATGGCAGCAAAGGTGGCCAAGAGCCAGTTGTGAAACACGCCATGGAGGAGAAGGAGTGGGAATGAATCCAGTGAGATGAGTGCCGGGCTTATAAACGACGGACCATGACTCTGCGTTGACGACACACACAACCCAATTCGGAGCATGAACACACAATTTGAAGACTAAAATGACAGGTTGAGTACACAGATACACCTTGCATGCACTCGGACAGTCCGAGGGAGGCTGAAGCAGGGTTCCCCTGACAGTTTTTGTATAAATATTTTTTGCTGAAAACAAATGGTTTCCACACAGGGAAAGTTACTTACAAAACAACAGGTTTCCAGACAGTAGTAATTTCCTCTTTCGGAAGGTTCATGTGGAAACCTGTTGTTTTGTAAGTAACTTTCCCTTTGCTGAAACCATTTGTTTTCAGTAAATTTTTTTTTATACAAAAACTAGTACTTTTTAACTTTTGGGAGTTGAATTCACAGTAAACCCCGGAGTGAATAAAAGCGCCATCCGTCACGCCACGTGCCGGCGCTGATCTCTCCGGCCGCGTCAGCCCAATTACCTCAGCACCGAGACGATCGGCGGGCACATGACCCAGGGGCGCCACGTCACGACACCATCTTCCCTTTAGCCCGCGAAGACGACTGTGCGGGAGACTGCTTGGAGCAGCGCAAAGGCCATCATTACGAGGGGAACGCGCGTCGCCACTCAATGCGGCTTACTCAGACCGCAGGCCGTTTATGCGCACGGGCGCTTCTTCGTCTTCTTGTTCGCCGATATAAGCGTGGCTTCGCAGGGAAATGAGATCACACCCACCCATGGAGTCTTTCGCACAACCGTCCCCCCTCACTCAAGGCCTGGTCAACCTCCCTGGGTCGACCCCACAGGCTGCTGCGCTCACCGCCAAGCTGCTACACAAGGACTTCCACGAGCACCACTGTTTCTTCAACGATAGCTTCTTCCATGACCACCTTGCGCACCAGTAAGTTTGCTCTCGTTGTTATCCACTTAGCTCAGGCGTTTGGAGCTTGTTGGCAATGTATGACCTTGGCGCAAGCGAAGAGACCATCGAGCACATTAATGACATCGACGCGAAGATGCAACGCGAGCTCTTCCATGGCAAGCCAGGCAGCGGGCGCAAGGTCGGCGCAATCTCGGAGGAAAACTGGCGGGATACTTTGGGCGAGAGACAGTGCGTTACTGCGCTCCCAAATCAATGCAAACACTAAACCGTGCACAGTGCAGTGCTATACGCTGACTATCTCGAGTTCTTTTCCCAGCGTATTGCCGCTCATGGCGTCGGCAGAACGTTGGAGAAGTACTTATTCTCGCCTGAGGCAAACGGCAACGGTGTCCTCATGCTCGCACGGTTCTTTGGCGGCATCGTTCACCCGATCATCCAAGCGGGAGTGCGTATATTGCTCTCGGAAGTGGTTTGAGCTAACTGCTGCACAGTTTGGGGTCGAGTTCGGCCAACCCCATATGGTTGCACAGGCACTCGCTCTGACGGCGCTCACATCTCCCGAAGGCGCAGTTGTCATGGAGGCCTCTGGCTTGCCCGAAATAACGGTCCAGACCGGCGCATCCGCCAAGCCGTCATCCTCGCTCCTTGCACTGCTCGCCGAGTTCTATGCCCACCCGGGCCTTTCGCCGATGCCCTATCCCGGTAAGCTTGGGCCAGGCGGAAACGTCTCCATGGCGTCGCTCGTGCAATGGGTCAACGACAATCCCACCAACGGGGACATCATCCGCGACATTTATGCAAAATGGTCGTTCGACCTCGCGTCGGCTTCCGACGTGTATGCTAAGATCGACGAGACGCTGTGGCAGGCGACGCTGTTGACTGGCGGTGCCACACCCGCGGGTAAACCGGCCCGGATGGACTTCTTCCTCATGCATTTACTCACGTCGGCCCTGGCGCTCCGACCCATCGTCGACGCCCTCGATAACCCTGTGCACAAAGCCCAACTTCTGGTGACATACGCTCGCTCCGCCGCGTTGATTCTCATCCTGCGTGGAACACCGAGAATTGACTGCACTGTCGCTATGGCTGCCTCCCCGGTGCCGAAACATACCACCCCTGGTGCAAGCGCGTGGTTCCCCATCATCAGCAATGCCAACCTCCACACGGAAGTGCACGTCGTGAAGGCTATTCGCGCGCTCGTGTACGGCGCACAGCGGTTTGGGCAGACGAAGGAAGGCGTGCCTGGGGCAGTCGATGCCAACGGCAAGGAAACCCATCCCGGCCTAAAGGCCGTTGACGGCACACTCTTCATCCGCTTAGCAAGCGTCATGACCGACGCGCTGGGCTGGGTTTCGCATGGAGAGCCGGAGAACGCTTGGGATTTCCGAGGGTTCTGGCCCGAGACATGGCAGTAGTGATGTAGCAGATATTACCCGTCGACCACGAATGAGGCTGACAAAATTTCTCAAGAAATCGAGAGGAGTTCAGAGCCAAGAGCGTGTTTCGACAACGTCGTAATTCTGTGCTGGACTTATTTGAGCGTCTATTCGAAAGACAAACGCCCCACAGCATCGTAGCCGCCAAACACCTCCAACACCTTCGCCCTGATTTTTTCCCTCCGCAATGTCGGTACGACGATCTTCAGGACACAATGTTTCGGGTCAGCCCACTGGGAAAGCACCAAACCCAGCGCCGTCAAGCCCTGGTCCGAATGTTTCGGCGTCAACCCAGGATCAAATACGATCGTCAGGCTTTCGAGCTTCATGGCTGTAGGCAGTTCCTTAAGCAGCATCGCCGCATCTTGTAGTGCTGATCCAGTGCTTGTGATGACGAGGTGCTTAAGCCGTGGATAGTGGGAGAGGACGTCAGGGATAGCGACATCATCATAAAGGAATGCGGGATTGACTGCGTGTTCTATGAAAAGTCAGTCAAGTATCCAAGCCCCACAAATAAGAACGTACGCGCATCCAGCGCCAAATTCGTCAACTTCCCCCGCGTCATTTGTAAGCATCGCCTGGTCGTCACGTTTATTGTTTTCCCAAAGGAGAGGTCTTCGACGGAGGCCAAGTCGAGAGGGAATTGCGCATGGAACATCCAATTCACGTCGTTATGGTGGGGGTTGTCCTCCAAGTGAAGTTTACGCACGGTGACCCGACGCGCTGCCGGGGGCGGTGGCGTTTCCTTGTCGACAACATTCCCGAATACGACAGAAATGCTGCTGAGTTTTGGGGTATGTTGCGCGAGCAGACTGGTAGCGTCAGCTGCGGAGTTGAAGATGGGATAGAAGAGGCCGACATGCTGGACGTTGGGGAGGGCGAGGAGCGCGGCACCTAGCGCGATAGATTGTTGCGTGATGGCACCGCCTTTGCGCCGGTGGAACACGACCGCGCGAAGGTTCGGAAGGTCAACCGTCTCCAGCGGTCGCAAAACAGCCTCCTCAAACGCGCACCTATCCTGCCCACTTATCCCCTCTAGTTAGAGCCTCAGGGGGGGGGTGAAGCTCTAACTAGAGGGGATAATTCAAATCCGCTGTGTTTCCTTAAACTTGCTTCTGGATGTTAGTGGACAGGATGTTAGTAGACGGGAGGTCTTTGGGGGGAAGGGGGAGGCCGGCTGGGGGAGCGGGCTGGGGAGCGGGCTGGCCGGAGCATCAATGGATGATCACCGGATGACACGATGACAGCGAAGGTCATCATCGCTGTCTGCTGTCAAGTCCCGCCCTCTGCCCGCCTCCCCCGCCCTCATCCCATCACTGCCATCAAAGTTGCTGATGGCTGTTGATCTTGGGGTCGCCCATGGTCCCGCCCACCGTCCCGATCTGATGGCGCATCAAAAAACGAAAGTTGTGCAGAATGCTTTGCTGATACCAAATGTACAAACCGTTTATCAATAGCTTGAGTAGTTAAGGAGATATAAGCCTTTTGATCTAGTGATGGATGAGTCTGAAGTTAGTAGACAGCTTTTATAAGGGATATTTGGAGGATTTTAGTATGGTATGAGTATGTAGGGCAATTTGGGTGTCAATACCAGTGTCAGGGGAGGTTATAGGTAGGTAATGATGATCCTAGCTGTAAGGGTCCTCTCTAATAACTTATCCTGTCCACTAACTTCAAGTTATGTTAGTAAGGGCTAACTAGGTACAGTATGCACATGTAGGTCCTTGAACATATAAGTAAGTCTCTGTAGAAGGTGTTGGGACTGTCAGTAGAGGATATGAGACATAGTTGGCAAGAGGGGGGGCTTACAATCCATCATGTGCACTAACCTCCTTAGTATGGAAGTCAGTAGATATCTTCCACCAGTTTGGTTGGGAAGGTTACTGGGGGGGGACATACAGGCCATGAAATATCTACTAGAATGTCTCTTGTCCTGCTGAAGTCCTGGATTTATTATAGTTCACTATGTCTACTAACTTCCTTGCCTGTGAAGTTAGTAGACATCTTTGATCACTTGGGATAAGAAAACAGATAGGGGGAACAAGGATGGCTTTTGAGGCCATGGGAGGTATACTGGGATGCCTTTTGTCCTGCTGAAGTTCTGCACTTATAACAATATAGTTGATCATGCCTACTAACTTCCCTAGCACAGAAGTTAATAGACATCTGTCATCACTTTGGTTCAGGAACCAGCCAAAGGGTCCAAGTGTGACATGTGAGGCTATGGAAGGTTTCCTTGGACGATTTGTATCCTGGAGAAGTCCTAGATTCATAATAGTATTGTTAAGCATGTCTACTAACTTCTATGCCTGCGAAGTTAGTAGACATCTTTGATCACTTTGGTTGAGAAAGCATCTAAAGGGCACAAATCTACTAGTAGTATGTGAGGCCAGGGAGGGTCTACTGGGATGTCTCTTATACTTTCAAGTCAAGAGTTCATGATAGTATATTTAACCATATCTACTAACTTCCCTGACCAGAAGTTAGTAGACATCTTTCACTGTTGGTTGAGAAAGCAACAGGTTGAAAGACATGTGGCATGATAGGCTATAGAAGGTCTACTGACATGTTTTTTCTACCATTGAAGTCCTGAATTGATGATAGTTTAGTTAACCATGTCTACTAACTTCCCAGCACAGAAGTTAGTAGACATATTTCACACTGGTTAAAAAAGTAGTAGGTAGAGAGTCATATGGCATAACAGGCTATGGAAGGTCTACTGCCATGTTTTTTTATATTACCAAAGTCCTAGATTAATGTAATTTAGTTAACATGTCTACTAACTTCCCTGCAAAGAAGTTAGTAGACATTTTTCACACTGGTTAAAAAAGTGGTAGGTGAAGAGTCATATGGTGTAATGGGCTCTAGAATGTCAACTGACACGTTTTCCATATTACTAACGTCCTAGATTAATGTAATTTAGATAACCATGTCTACTAACTTCCCTGCACAGAAGTTAGTAGACATCTTTCACTACTCTAATTAGAACAGCAGTCTGGCTGACTTTGACACAATATATGTATCAACTCATATCATACAAAGTCTACCAGGCACCTTGCACATTCTTCAAGAGGTCAATCAAAGACATATATAGCCCATGTCAGGAAAGTTAGTAGACATCTTCAAACTATAATATCTCTCTATGATCTTCTGTGATAGCGAGTATCTCAAAGCACATCAGTAGCTTGAGGGTGGTAAATAGTATGTGTCCTCAATGGCATATAGGCTATCAATGCTCAGTAACAGATATCTGATGATCTACTCCCCCTCCCCCTCCCCCCTCCTGTTCTCTCCCCTGCGCTCTCACCCCTCTCCTCCCCTCCTTCCTTATGACCTATTGCAGTACTGGCTATGATGAGCTCAAATTAGACACTCATGTTGGCTATAATTGATCATTTGGCACTCAACACTTGTACTATCTACTCTGTTAGTGTAGGTCAGACTGGGCTCCCAGAGGCTAGCTACATATAAGATTTAGGTGAGTATTATGAGGGAGCATATTTTTGTACTATTTAGAGCACTACTTAACTGAAAGGACTCAATATTGTGCCAGAATGGCAGTTAGTAGAGAGCATGAGTTAGAGAAGATAATGACTGAGACAGTAGAAATTCAGCCCTCAGTTGCCATTCAGGCTATATCTATATGCATAAATGTCTTAAGAGAGCATGTTATACATATAAGATAGGGTCCATCATATACACAAATAGCAAATATGTCTATTAACTTCTTACCTAAAAGTTAGTAGACTCTAATTTATTAGACCCATTCTACTATATAGACTGAGCATATAAGTACTGTATATGCATGTAGTAACATATGAAAGACATTTCCTGTGATTTATAGGCCCAAATTGAGAGGGATGATAGATATACATGCTAATTTCTGGCAGAAGTTAATAGACATATAGCATAAAATTGGGTTTCAAGGCAATGTATCTGAAGTAAATTAGATGAGAGAAGTGTTTCTGAGCACCTACTAGGATCCCAAACAATGAATAGTTGTTGTCCTGAAATGTGTCTGAATATCAGGTCGAAGGCAGGTTCATCCTTAAGTGCAATTGAGCCTGGTCTCAATTGCAAAAATGACATGTCAAAAATTTAAGATATGGACCAAAATTTGATTACAGACTGTTAGGTATACTGGAAATGAACATATTCGGCGCTCAGGTCAGCCTCTCAACTATCATGGATCTTTCACAATATCATAATCTATGTTATCTATCCCAAATATGATGAATGCACCAAGCTATCAACACTTCATATTGGATAAAGATACTTATAGATCTGGTGTCAGGGAGTGTACAGCTTCCAGTAGATCCAGATATGCATGCCATAATAGATGTATATGTCAATTTCTGACCGTGTCAGGCAGAAGTTAGTAGACATGTAGCATAAAATTGGGTTTCAAGGCAATGTATCTGAAGTAAATTAGATGAGAGAAGTGTTTCTGAGCACCTACTAGGATCCCAAACAATAAATAGTTGTTGTCCTGAAATGTGTCTGAATATCAGGTCGAAGGCAGGTTCGTCCTTAAGTGCAATTGAGCCTGGTCTCAATTGCAAAAATGACATGTCAAAAATTTGAGATATTGACCAAAACTTTATTGCAGACTGTTAGATATACTGGAAATGAACATATTCGGCGCTCAGGTCAGCCTCCCAACTGTCATGGATCTTTCACAATATCATAATCTATGTTATCTAACCCAAATATGATGGATGCACCAAGCTATCAACACTTTATATTGTATGGAAATACCTATAGATTCGGTGTCAGGGAGTATGTAGCTTCCAGAAACTTTAGAGATTTCTGTCCCAGCATATCAGGAACAGCAGATATGGTAGCCCCTGTTGCACAGGTATTTGCCTTGCACTCTATATAATTGAGATATCAGACATAGATTGGAATCATTAAGGGAGCTGCCCTGAGTCCATAGACCCCGCACCCATCAGGATCTGCCAAGAACTGAGCTCAAAATA